TGACATGCATGCAAATGAGGTTGTCAATATGCATGCAAATGAGGTAGATGACATGCAGGCAAATGAGATTGATGACATACATGCAAATGAGGTTGACAATATGCATGCAAATGAGGTTGATGACATGCATGCAAATGAGGTTGACAATATGCATGCAAATGAGGTAGATGACATGCAGGCAAATGAGATTGATGACATACATGCAAATGAGGTTGACAATATGCAGGCAATTGAGATTGATGACATGCAGGCAAATGAGGTTGTCAATATGCATGCAAATGAGGTAGATGACATGCAGGCAAATGAGATTGATGACATACATGCAAATGAGGTTGACAATATGCATGCAAATGAGGTTGACAATATGCATGCAAATGAGGTTGATGACATGCATGCAAATGAGGTTGATGACATGCATGCAAATGAGGTTGACAATATGCATACAAATGAGGTAGATGACATGCAGGCAAATGAGATTGATGACATGCATGCAAATGAGGTTGACAACATGCATGCAAATGAGGTTGACAATATGCATGCAAATGAGGTAGATGACATGCAGGCAAATGAGATTGATGACATGCGGGCAAATGAGTTTGATGACATGCAGGCAAATGAGGTAGATGACATGCAGGCAAATGAGATTGATGACATGCATGCAAATGAGATTGATGACATGCATGCAAATGAGATTGATGACATTCATGAAAATGAGGTAGATGACGTGCATGCAAATGAGATTGATGACATGCACAAATGAGGTTGTTGACATGCATGCAAATGAGGTAGATGACATGCAGGCAAATGAGGTTGATAACATGCATGCAAATGAGGTTGATAACATGCATGCAAATGAGATTGATGACATGCATGCAAATGAGGTCGATGACATGCGGGCAAATGAGGTTGATGACATGCATGCAAATGAGGTTGACAATATGCATGCAAATGAGGTAGATGACATGCAGGAAAATGAGATTGATGACATGCGGGCAAATGAGGTTGCTGACATGCAAGCAAATGAGGTAGATGACATGCATGCAAATGAGATTGATGACAAGCAGGCAAATGAGATTGATGACATGCATGCAAATGAGATTGATGACATACATGCAAATGAGATTGATGACATACATGCAAATAATAGATGGTAATGCATGGCCACACAGTTACTCACCTTTCATACTGTGTGTCCCTTTGTGCAATAATTGACTGGGAGAAAAAAGGAAAAAAGTAAATTTTCGAAGCAGGACAAATATAAAATTATATCCTAAAACTGCAGTCAAATTGTTTGCCTTGTGATGGAAGGCACAATACGGTACAATATTCAACACATTATATACTAAAATTCATCAATACACAAGTTTTATAAATTCTGATTAACGGTTTTACCCCATACAGAATATCTTTCGCCTTTATGACAGTAAATTGTCCAGTGATTGAAAGAAACTTAGAAAGACTTGTTGGTAATGGGTATTACAAAATGACATCTTAAAACCAATGGAAGAGTCTTCTTCAGATTTAAGTGAGTCGTTGAGGTCTTCTAGAATAAATGTTTTATTAATTAATTTCCATAAAAATGATTCATGTCTAAAATCCATGCCTCATTTTTTTTTATTCATAACACACATCAAATTATGTATTTTAGCATCATCCAGTTTAGCAGCAAAAAATTGAATGTCAACTGGTGCCATTACAATGTGTGTGACTAGGCTGTAATTGTACAGAACCATATTAAAGCAATTGACTAAACTTTTCCCATATCAACCAGATCTGGTCAAACAAAAACCCATGCTGATCTTAACAAAGTTGCAATGATGGCAGTTCTCCCAGAATTCTTAAAGTAGAGCAGTATGAATTATATAATTGAGACATACATAAAACGAATACATACCAACAAAGAATTAAGATAGTATGTAAGCTGTGCCACAGATGTAACCTGTTCTGTTGTAGGTGGTATAAAATTAGTAGATAAGGTAGTCATCCCTGAGTCAGTCACATTGGATAAATCACCTACAAACAAACAAACAACATTTTGAATGTTGTAAAACCATCATGTGTTTGAGGAATTTACTGGTTTCTATTTATTTATGCACTCGTTAATCTCCTAATTATTAAATATATTCTATTATTTGCAATGTTCCAAAAAAAATATCTTATTAATTCATGGTCTAACTTTTTTATGAACAATAAATCAGAGTTACTAAAGCAAGTTGCACTTG